GTCCTTTACACGTTAGCATTACACTACTGAAGGTGGAACACTTATAAATCATGTTTATATCAGTAAAGAAATTCCGTCACATAATGTTCACATTTCACACATACCTGTATATTAAAAATATTAAAATTATACCACAAGGGTAGGCATGGACGACATTCTGTTCGTTTGAATTATAGGGTGGGACTGGAACCTGTCTTAGGCTTTCACACTATATCAGGCGGCATCTCAGAAAATTGACAATTGATCAGCATGAAGGGTATAATGTACATTATGGATGGTGACAAATGATCATCAAATACTAACAATAGTTAGTGAGTTTCCAAAAAACATTTCCTTCTTTTAGCAAACTTCAGATGAATACTGTGAAGAGAAATGTCCTGATTTGATCCCCCTAACCGTGATATAAACTAATCTAAATCTAATAATAGATTGGTGTAAATTTGCTTGACCACGAAGAATCGGGAGCTGGTAGCTTACTTGAACACATATTTCAAAATATATGCTTGTTATAGATTTAGGCTATGATAACTCACTTATTCTGTTTACTAACTGCATATATTAAATATGTCTGGGACACAACCCTGGTAAAACTGACACTTTGTTAATAATACAGAATAAATGCTTTCAATGGATTTAAACTTTGATAACTCTCGTTAAAACAGCTATACTGTCTAGTAACTGTATATATTATAGAATCTTGTTAAATAACACTCTCATGACTCATCAAAGTTCATGCCCAAAATCTTAATTACCTCATTTCATGTAAAACAAATGCGAAGTGCAGTACATTGGGGAATGCTTCGTGAACTTGTTTTATTGGCCATTGTTACGTTTTACTGACACGGTAAATACCAAACCAAAACATAGACGACTTCAGCGAGATACTAATTGCATGGACCAACTTCAAACTATACGCCAAAATGGCCTAAATATCTAGCACCTTTCGTTACAACCTACGGCCATATCGTTGCCAATGCCTCCCATATCATTAAACACCAGTACCAGCAAAGAGTTTGTTTGTAAGATTTCATATTACAGCATTTATCATCAGGTATTTATTAAACATTACAGAAAGAAATTAATTCTTATCTTTTCAGAAATTTTACCAATAGAAATTATACAACATTAATATTAGTCTTTCATAATTACCATTTATACTTTTCTTTTGTACATTGTTTTAGTAGAAATATTTGTGATATAAGACAGTAATTTAATGAGACTATGTTCTCAACACCATCTAACACTAGTAGTTCAAGTACATCGTTAATCTATTGCTACATACAAACTACAGTTATCTAGGAAATATAACGACTCATATAATGGATTCTTCCTTTATATCATATGCCCACACAGCAGCTTTGTTAAATTATCAAATAGTTATGCCATTCTATATTTAGTTTTAACCAATTCAAGGGTAATAAAAAAACACAATTCAGGGAAAACCTGTCCAATTCAAACTTGTACCATATCAAAGATTTCACCAATTTCAAAGATTCC